TATTTAGCACAGACATAAAAAACATCAAATGATGATAGGGATTAATTGTCCATGGATTTACCTGATATAATATACCTGATATATCTCTGGGAGCTATTAAGAAAGGTTAATCAAATCTCAGAAACTCCATCAACATCAACATGTCATTATTCATAGAAAAGTATAAGAAATTCCTGTTGACATGGTATGCACCACATTATTGTGCAGGGATCTCCAACTTAGTTTTATACTACCCTAAATAAGCAATTGTAATGACTGCCAACATTTAGATAGATACTTTATTGATCCCGTGAGGGAAATTGCAGATTTTTTTTAACTGTATGTTATTGCTTAATTATGCAAGTAATTTGTATAATTAAAGGGTACTCTGCTCCTTGAGGGTTCAATGATATGGAATTTTTATTCCAATGATCTCCAAATTACTTAATTTAACAAATCACCTGCCTAATCGATCACAATTAAATTGTTCAGAGTTTTTAGAAATTAAGACTTTAATGGCTATCGGCAGTATAACATCCATTGTACTGGAGATGTCCAGGACAGAGTTTTGTCCTCAGTTCTAATGTAAATTAAATTATTTTGTTTGGATGTTCCCAACAAAAATATTAATCAGAGAAAAAGAACATAAAAGTTACAGAGAAGAGTGAGCCATTTACCCCATGTTTTGTTGAATAGCTGGACACATCCACAGCATTACTTAGAAAAAGAAGTTCTTCATAGTCTTCATGTTCATGTCACTTACAGTATGTATCAAAATATGCTGTCTGGACCTAGGCTTTGGGTTGAACCTGTGCAATTTGTAATGTATTAATTAAATCGTATGTTTAGTTTCTATTGAACACTGAATCATGATTACTGTTACCGTTATTTAAAAATCTGTCTTCAATTAATAAAGAAACATTCTATTCAGATGCCCATATGCCCAAATGTTTTTTTAAATAGACCTGAAGAAGCAACAAGCTTTGGGTCAAAGTGTAATTTAAATAATCTGCACTTTTAAAAGAGAAAAAAAGATTAAATGCAAACAAAATCAAATGTGTTCATTTTAACAATTTTGATGATGATCTCTTCTTTATATTTGAATATCTTTCACACCAATATTAATATCAGAAACAGGGGAAAGCATGATGTTCATATGAAAGGATAAAATGACTAGATTTTACATTTCCATCACTGCAAACTCAGATTACCACTTACCAGTATTGACTATGGAACACATTTTATTATGTTCAATAAACTCTACATACACACAAACACGGCTTCTGGATCCAAAAGTGAAACTCTTTCAGTTCTTCTGAATTAAAAAAGAAGCGTTGCCTCTAAAGCTTATGTAACTGAGCTCAAGCAAATAACAAATTCACCTGTCCAAGTTACAAGTTCACACATTCTCTACCAAGAAATTGTAGTAATATCTACTACTACAGTAATTTAGTGTTTCAATCTGTAGCTTTCTTTATTCCCCAAACTCAGGTCTATTAAAATTACATTCTCGTACAGCTCCATGATGTTTTGCACTTCACAAACACGTACAGCGTTCATGTGCGAACACCTTATTAGCTGTAAAAAAATGACAATCCATATGTAAACGGACTCACTGTGTAATACCGGTTTAAAAGGTGTTTTCAACAAAGACAATCCGTTTGCTTGCTTACACCAATAATTCTAAGCTGTGCATACATTTCTGTATGAGTGAATCATTTCTTGTATTTCTCCAAAAATCTTATCTTCTTGGACCTCTACCTGGAGTTACGGCTTTCACAACGCTTGCACCTGTATCTGACATCTGTTTTTTATTTAACTCTTGCATATTGTTTTTTTCACCCCACCCACCCCCTTAAATAATTGGGGAGCTAGCGTCAATAGCCTCAAATACAATGAATGGGGAAGGCTGCATTCTGAGCAGATGTGTTGCAGGCAATTCCTTAATCAGACTTTTTTTGGTTCACCACCTGATTATTGACTTTGCGAAACGTGCCTCGGTCAGCCTCATGCTGATTCGTAACCAAAAGCAAAGGCACAAACAACAGAAAACAACAACAATGAATGTGCTACCACTGAGGCGGTGTCCCTGTGACCCCTCGCGCAGTGCTGCTGCTCGTTTGGTGAGGTGTTTGTGTGTGAACACAGAGGCCAGGGCTGGCCTTCCCCCAACTAACCCCATCAGATTGAATATTCTAATCTTCTTTATGAGAGATTATGAAACCAATCATGTTCTCTCATGGGATTCAGGAGTTCATAGGAGAAGACTACGTTCATCTTCTTGGACAGGAGAACCAGAAGTACTGGTACATAAACTAAGCTACATTTTGGCCTGAATGCCCATCAGAAAACAGTATCCTGAGACCAGTCGGAACAGCTGCAGGCTTCTTTTCAATCTTGATCTAAAGATACAGGAAATGCTTTTTGCTGAGTAGCCATAAAAAACAATGTTTATTTTTGCAAGTTGGAGGTGATCTTTAATGTTGTACACTATACACTGCACATTTTACTTTATTCATTCTTAAGTTTTACTCATCTATAAAATTTTCAGTTCTATTACATTTTTTTTGGCATTGAGTAGCATTGTTTTTGATTTTTTGAGAAATTACACTGATTACTGATCATTTTTAGGTTTGTTTTCTTTTAATGAATTGCTACCATGAACAAGGACAGTGTGTACTGAAATGCAGTTGCATAATCCCAATTGCGTATTATTTCTGATCTCCTGATGCTGTATAATCTCTTCAGAAACAACAGACAAATACTTATGTAATGCATTTTACATTGAAACAACACCAATGAAAAGTTATTTCTGATGCTACTATTACATTCAAGGGTATAACACATTTTCAGGATTTTTATAGAACGTAAATCAAAGCCCAACATATGTCATTTCAAAAGTGTACTTCAAAAAGAGTCTGATAGCATTAGTTTTTACTACTGTACTTATCTTCCGACATGGACAAAGCACTTTAGCACATTTTATCTGTATTGTTTTTAGTGAAAAAGGTCAATCTAAGTGAACTTTCAATTCTTTATTTATCATACACAAAGTGATCAAGTTATACCTGGAGCTCTGTTTCAGGGAGTAAAAAATTAAATGTTCCAGAAATAATATGGAGTTGCTTAAAAACACTTTAACTACTTTAAATATTTTGTTACAAGTGGTTTAGTCATTAGACTTTTCAAACCTAGTTTGTTTTATTCTTGTACTAATCTCTGCATCCTGTCTTTTTTAAGACTAACATGATATCCATCTATCTTTAAATCCAAATTCCCCCCAAAAGTCCATATACTATTAATATAACACAGTTAATAATATATTTTGAATATTAAAGGTCATTGGTTTAACATTAACCTTGTATACCTGCACTAACAAAGGGGGAAAAAGTCACGAAGCTGATTGGCATAACTTGATGTTACATCAAGACTGATGTTGAAACATTTAGGTTTTTCTAATTGCACTGCAGTGATTATGTAGTTTTAATGCACTAAATCTACAGTACTGTATATATCCACTATCCAAAGAATATAAACTTTGCTTAATATGTAACACTGCTTTGCTCCGGTTTCCACAACCCCAGCATCATTTTGTAAGCACATAATTAACGTACTGTAGGTATTCTGGGTAAGAGGTTGGATGTATAGCAAATAAATGGAAAGTGTTTAAGAAGCATGTTATTAAAAAAAATTCGAGATGTATTGTATACTTGATAGAACTTCAGCCTACTTAACAATGGCAAGAATTCCCTCGATAATCAATCTAGGTTCGTGAGACTAAGAAAATGAGATGAGAAAAGTAATGTTTTCTTGTAAACCATAATCCAGTTAGTATGCGAGGTAATGTACTGTATATATCATTTTACAAGGCACATGTTTAGCGCTTACATAATTCACAAAACATCTAAATGTTATATACTTGTCGTTAAATAAAATAGTGGAAAATAAACACAACGATTGCATCAAACAACTTAAAACGCCTTTCAAATGAATAAATTCAACCAACTCAACAAGGCATCGTTTTATTAAGGTGCGGATAAAGACATTTAAGGAATAACGATTAAAATAACGTTATTTAAACGGACTTTTTTCGTGAAACAGTTAAAAGCCTGCAGACACCTATTTCAATCCATTAGGTTTTCCACAAGTCTGAAGCCAGTATGACGTACATTTTCCAAATGATAGAACGGGCTCCTGCTATGTGCTTTCTGAGATAAGCGTCTGCAGTTATTAACAACCCAGTGTTTGTTATTCAGATTATGTCTGCGTCACTAAAGAATTGGAAAGACGCATCAAAGGAGCAGCACAGTGCGATATATTACAAGCACATGCATATTAGTTTTTTCAAGGCAGAGAAGCTGTCTGCCCTGTCTTTTATGAAGAAAGCAAATTAATGCTACCAGGGGGTGGCGGCATTTTGTATTTTAGTAACGGTAACAAAACTTCTTTTAAACTCAAAATGCAAGACACCAGACCTATATTAAACGTTAACATAATATATTTTTTTCCATCAACTCACCAAAAATAATGTGGAGCCGGTGGAATTTTCGCTTTGAAAACAGCATTTTATGAGATTTCTCGTTTGTGGTAACTACATCAGTTAACGTTAGGAATCCTGTAATACATATTAAAACACATGTGAAAGCCGATACAGATGACAAACCTGTAAATTAATTCAGTTTTCTTTGGCCTAAAAGACATTCAAATTACAGTATTTTTTTTTTAAAAAAGCAAATTTATGCTTGCAAATGTTCGGGAACGCTAGAGGCGGTAGCGCTGTGCAAGTAAATCCGAGCGCATAAAAATAGATTACCACGCACATTATGTAACAAGTAAGATGCTCTGAGACTGCTCAGCTGTTTACAGTGTAACTGTCAAACACTCTCTTCCAGCAGATGCAACTAAATATACGGGATTTTTAATAAAAACACCAGACCGGAGTTTATGCACTGGGGACTGTACTCCGCGGCATAATACGCAAGCAAATTTTGGAATGCGGCAGTTTTTTTTTTCTTTCCTTATGTGTCATTGTACTGCAGTAACCCAGGTAGTTTGTTTACAGCTACATTACAAGTGAAAAGTTTTTTTTTCTCCCTAAAGCCACACTTTAACACAATTAAGGTGAGCACCAGACGTGTCTGTCCACGTGCCCCTCTGCCGTGTTGCGTCGTATGCGGTTGTTGACGATGTTGTTTACAATGTGTTTGTGTGGAGCTGTGCCATAGTTACTAGTTTCTGTTTCTACAGAAATTAAAGAGAACCTCCCTCCATCGCTACAGATCAGCTGTCTTCGTCGAATTTAGTGTAGATTCAACTTTAATGTTAAGTAAACTATTAGATAACCATCGCCTTTTACACCAGTAAATGTGTGTATTTTTAACATATATATACAAAATTGTTTTGCTTCTATTTGTCGCCCTTTTCTTCAAGCTCTGTCGGTTAAGGATTATTTAAACATTTTCAGTTTGTGCTTTAGTTGTAAATTATTTACCATTTGTTAGAGTTACATGAATACCCGTGTACCTTTAAAAATAGGCTGTGCTATACAGGGTAATCGTAAATTATAGTTCGTTGCCAAATTTGTGTTTATATATATTATACTTACAGACAATAACAACTGTCGTACCGTTTATCAGTAAATTTATAGAATTTTTAAATGCGCACTTCGGTTTTCAAAGGAGAATCTTTACTGCTAATGTATAAGAAAACATTTTATTTATACAAAATACCGTGTTATTAAAACATTCATCCCAACTCTGAGTGCACTTTAAAATAAGTTTACTTAATTAATAGTGTTATCTGAAAATGCTGAATTCTACGCGTCCCCTGAAGACGGTCCGGATTGCATTTTTTTAAATTATTATTAGCAGTATTTTTTGCGGATGCTGTTAGTAAATCCGAACAAAAGAGTGTTTGTTAAGCTCTTTATCTGAGAACTAATCCCTTATTCGGTATGAAACGGGAAGAGTACATACACAATTCATTAGGGAAAAACCAAGATTAATTAAAAAAACATCTCTGTCTAGCAGTCTGTCTTCTGGCAAAAAGCAGGAGATGAGCCGACTACCTTAAAATGGGAGTTGTCCTTTTTTTTTTAGTTTAAGCCTGACGGGTTCATATTACTATCAATCAGTTAATTCGACCAATGAGCCGATCAGATTGGAGGCTTGGCAGGTACGCCCCCCTCAAGGTTGTACCGCCTTGTGTTTTTCTTTTTTTGTAACTAAAGCTGGATGTGTAGAACGTCACATGTTGTTTTTCTCTTCAGGCACTCAGTGATATGTGTTATTTACTGTTAAACTGTTACAGACACCGAACGGAGATCTCTGCGCCAGGAATGAAGTAGAAGAAGAGGTACAGTCGGCTTTCTTTTCTCTCTCTAGACCAGCACAGACAACAAGTTAAAGAAAGTGAGAGTTTAAAACGCGAGGATGGCGAGTTCGCCAACAACTGGACATTTATTTTCGAATGTTCACGTTAATAATAATAATAACCTCATTAAAAAATGCGGATACCTGAAGAAGCAGAAGCATGGACACAAGCGGTTTTTCGTTTTGAAAGAGCAGAGTGATGGCTTTCCTGCCAGGCTGGAGTACTACGAGAACGAAAAGAAATGGAAAAACAAGTCAGCTGCGAAAAGGGTTATACCCCTGGACTCCTGTCTGAATATCAACAAGAGAGCAGACGCCAAACACAAACACCTGATCGCCCTTTACACCAAGGACGAGTATTTTGCCGTAGCTGCTGAAAACGAGCAGGAGCAAGAAAGCTGGTACATCGTCCTAACTGAACTAATGAATGAGGGGAAAGTGTATGACGGATCGGCTTCTACTTCAACTTCCTCGCTGTCGGGATTTGAAGAGGCAAACTACGGTCTGATTACCCCTGCTAGCGCAGTTTACAAGGAGGTTTGGCAAGTAAATTTGAAATCAAAAGGACTGGGGCAAAGCAAAAATTTAACCGGGGTTTACAGATTGTGTCTTTCCAGCCGGACTATTAGCTTTGTGAAATTAAACTCGGAGGCTCCATCTGTCATTTTGCAGCTCATGAATATTCGAAGATGCGGGCACTCTGACAATTTTTTCTTCATCGAAGTAGGCAGGTCTGCATCCACGGGACCTGGGGAGCTTTGGATGCAAGCAGATGATTCAGTGGTGGCTCAGAACATTCACGAGACTATTTTAGAAGCAATGAAAGCAATGAAAGAATTATCAGAATTCAGACCCCGGAGTAAAAGTCAGTCGTCTGGTACCAACCCCATTTCTGTGCCCACCAGGCGGCACCTGAACAACCTGCCACCCAGTCAGACAGGGCTGCCTAGGAGGTCAAGGACAGACAGCATGGCAGCGACATCCCCTGCCAATAAATTCACCTCCTGCCGAATAAGGACGGCAAGCGAAGGGGATGGCACGATGTCAAGGCCGGTTTCGGTAAATGGGAGCCCCATTAGTCCTAGTGCAATCAGAACGCACCTGAGCCGTTCCAATACTGTTACCACCAGACCCTCAAGAATGTTCCAGACCTCTTCACTTCAGCACAGCAAATCAATGTCAATGCCAGTTTCTCATTCGCCACCTTCAGCCACCAGCCCCGTGAGTCTGTCTTCGAGCAGCGGACATGGCTCGGCATCAGACACCATCCAGCGGCCATCTAGCGGAAGTGCCTCAGTCTCAGGATCACCAAGTGATGGTGGCTTCATGTCCTTTGACGACTATGGGTCTAGCCCAGGGGATATGAAACACTGCCTGGGCAATAGGAGCAACACTCCGGAGTCTATTGCCGACACGCCCCCTTCCCGGGAGGGCAGCGATCTGTATGGCTACATGACGATGGAGAGGCCAGTCAACAGTATTTTTAACCTCAACGGCAGGCGGTTTTGCAAAGACGACATTTTGGATTCTGAAAAGGCGTACAGAAAGAGAACCTACTCCCTGACCACACCCCCACAACAGCGGGCTACATCGCAGGTCTCTTCTGCTTCGCTGGATGAGTACACATTGATGAGGGCCACGTACACTAATGGCAGCTCTGGCCGAAGTTCTTATGCAGCTTCTCCTAAAGTTACTTATACGCCTTACCCAGAGGATTATGGGGACATCGAAATAGGGTCCCATAAAAGCTCAAGCAGCAACTTGGGTGATGACGGATACATGCCCATGACTCCCGGTGTTGCCCCACAAGCCAGCAAGAAGGAAAATTACATGCCAATGAGTCCCACGAGTGTTTCTGCTCCAAAGCAAATCATCAATCCCAGATCACATCCAGAAACAAATGGGAATAGATACAGAACAAATTCGCCTGGCAGCTGCTCTCTTGATGACAACGGCTATATGAGAATGTGGTGTGGCTCCAAGTTATCCGTTGAGAGCTCTGATGGAAAGCTAACAAATGGGGACTACATGAACATGTCGCCCATCGATCACTGCGTCTCGCTGACGCCACCTGATTACTTCCTCAGCTCTTTGACCAACGAATCCGCAAGACCTTCCTACTCTTTCAACTCACTGCCCCGGTCTTACAAATCACAGGGCTCCAAAAATGGGGATAGTGACCAGTACGTTGTGATGAACCTGCAAAATCAAAAGATTATTGAGGAGTCCAATTACTGTTCTACAGCTTCTACTGCAGCGGTTGTAAACCACTTTGCGCCTTCACCAGTAAGACAAAGTAGAAATGAAAACTTGTTGCAAAGAGGAAGGGCCAGCAGGCCAACCAGGCTGTCTCTAGACACACTGAGGACTTTGCCAAGTATGAATGAACACCCTTTGCCCGCTGAGCCAAAAAGCCCTGGTGAGTATATTAACATAGACTTCAGTGAAACTACAAGGTACTCCCCACCATCTCTGTCTACAGAGAGTCCAGCTTCTTCCTTAGGATCCACCAATGACCAGCGAAGATCACCTTTGTCAGATTACATGAACATTGACCTGAATGCACAGTCTCCTAAATCGGTGGAGGCCCCTGCTGATACAATGAATGTAATGTCTGCATTATCATGCTCAATTCAACCAGATGCCGAGTACCTCAAAACACAGATTGCCTCTGTGTGTCTCTCTGGCTCTACAAAGGACGATTACACGGAAATGACATTTGGTGTTACAAACACACCTCCCCAGCCCATTTCGCAGAAGTCAGAAAAGGCTCAAAGCATGAGCCCCACCAGTGGGGTGAAGAGGTTAAACCTGATGGAACAGGTGTCGGGGGTGGAGGCGTTTTTGCTGCCCAGCACCCCTCCAGACCCTGACAGAGGGGCAAAAGTGATCCGGGCAGACCCACAGGGACGCAGGCGGCACAGTTCTGAAACGTTCTCATCCACCACTACTGTAACGCCTGTCTTTCCTTCTTTTGCCCATGATCCCAAGAGGCATAGCTCTGCCTCTGTAGAAAACGTCTCTCTCAGGAAAAGTGAGGGCACTGATGAAGAGTACGGCAGCCCCATGTGTCGTGAGACCTCTGCGGGATTTCAAAATGGACTGAACTATATTGCCTTAGACCTGATGGATGAAAACTTGGGCAACTGTGAAACCCTTGTTAAACTTAAAACTGCAAGGTATTTAAAAGGTGGCATCAGTGGATTAGATGCCAGTCCTTACACCAGCCTTGGCTTTTTAAAGGAAACAGCCACTGCTGTTAAAGGTGAGTACACATTCTTAAAATTGGTTTATTTAATTATTAACATTTCTAAAAGGCACACTCATACATGGTAAAGTATGTCAAAGAGGAGAAGGACATTTTGTTCTTCAGAACTGCTTAAGCATTCTTAATTGTGGTGTAGTGCTGTAGACTTATCAGTTTTAATAATTGAAGCCACTTTGATGTATTTCCAAATGAATCCCCATTTATTCTGTTGTGCATAGCAGTGCATTTCTAACTAGAAGCTTCTGCATGTGATGCATACTCTCTATGTTCTCATTTCTGAACTGCCAACTAGTGTGCTTCGAAAACTTTTTTCTTTATTATTGTAGATGAAAATGAACTTGCACCACTGCATGTACTGCCCTTTCTGTTGCCATAGTGGTGCACTGACAATTAACTGGAGCAGAAAAATGATCCTCAATGTTGGTCCTCCTGGTATTAAGTATTAATGTATTTGATAATTGAGCCATTGCTTTAAACACTGCGTAGGTATGCAAATATAGCCTGGTAATTATTTTATTTTAGTCATTTTCATGCATTGCAATTGCAGAAACCCAAAACTGGGAGGTGTGGTTACTCAGTCTGTCTGCCTAGTTTGAGTATAATATGCAGTTTGCCAAAATGAGGCTTTCAGCTGTAAATCATTTTTTGGTTCAAGGTGAAACACAAGTTTGGAAAGGAAATAAAAAGGCTTCATGAAGGTTTGCTTGTATTTTGAGCATCGAGTGGGTGTCAATGAAAAATAACAGCAAAAATGACAGGGTGCCGTATTTTCCTGTTTTTCAATCTTTAATTGATACAGTTATGGCTGGCCTATGCACGTTCAGTAGGAACCTATTCAGATTTGTTTGAGGGGTACCTCTATACACATCAAGACCTGCTTTTAAAAGTTGTAAACAATGTTAGAGAAGAATGGAGAACTCTTGTACAGGGTGAAGAGCGTCATTTGATTTCAAGCAAAGCTGTGCATACATATAGGTTTAGAACTGTTTTCTAAGCACCCCTGCACATCTCAAGTGCTAACAGAGAATCTACAGGTAAATATGCCTTATTTTAGATATACATTGTGTGTTGGACTTTGTGGTGTGTGAGGTTTAAAGTAAATAGCTCGACCAGCTGTAGATGAGCAACGTGCATTTCAAACAGATTTTCAGTCTTTTGTGATTGACGTTTTTTGTGATAAATGGTAATACAGTATTTACCATTCTTTCATGTGCTGCCTATTAGACAGAAACATCTCTCTGAAAACCACTTTACTTTTTTGTTTGTTTTTAACACACTGCAAATCTGGTCAATTCATGGCTGTGATTGCATACTTTTCTAATGCTTTCTGACTGTGCTTTCCAACATCTGTTTGTTTTTATATAGAGTGAATCAGCGTCTTTGTGGGGGAAGAAGGGGGTTTACTAACGTGAAACATATCTGTGTGTGTTTTAAAGTAACAAACTTGATTAAATATGCAGGTCTTATTTCTTCATTTTCTCTGGAAATTCCATTTAGCTATGATATAATAGTAAAACTGGATCCATTAATATGGGATTTATACAAGTACTGTATTTCAAAAGTATATCTTAACTTTCAGTCATAATATCTTCTGTTATATAACTCTTTTATAGTCGTATATAGGGTCAGTGACAGACCTGACTGAATTCAATGTAAAAAAATACAGTTGACCAACACAAATAAACATTTGTTTAGTTCAGGGACAGAACCTGCATCATTCAGTACGTGAGTCTCTGAAACACTGAGAATTTTAATTTGGTAACATTGTTCTCTGAAAGGGAAAAAATGCTGGTTTAATGCTCTCAACCCATATGCCTTTTTTCATTCATTTGCTGTCAGTAGTTCTGACATTTTTGTATTGTGCTTAGCCGGATCTCATTGTTCTTTGTTCTGTAGTAGGTTGCTTAAAAGTATTTCGTGGTTTTGGAATCTTACATTTATAGTTCGTGTTTCAGCTACATGCCTGTAACACTCAGCACCTTTCTATGTCAAATGTGATATGTCAGTTGTTTGCCCCCTCGTGAATTTTGTCTAAACTGTTTTGAATTCATCCTCCTGTTATGCTGTGTCACCCGTGGTCTTGACTGGTTTACAAGCGACACAAGAACCTAGATCAGATTTCTTTCTTTCAGTCTTCTGGTAATCATGATGATGATAAGCTTACTTGCTCATGTCTCCAAAGGTTTAATGCATACACAGCTTCACTCTAAGAATGAAATCCCTTTGAACTGAAAATTGCTCTCTAGACCTCAAGTGAAGTCAGGAAAGGACTGACCTCTGTGGTTTCCAGTGAGTGTCACTAAAACACAGAATGAGTGTTCAGCAATAACAAAGAGAAGTTTGTTTTTCTTTTTAGTTTAATGGCTTTCTTAAGTAGTTGCCCCTGGTAGTTCATGTTATGTTGTTTTTAGATGTATCCAGAGATTCTCTCTAGGATATATCAGAAGCAACAAGACATAAGTGGTATAAGAAAACAAAAGGAGCCTCTGTGTATCCCTAAGCCTTGAATAAACCCTACATAACATCAGATGTACATAAAAAATGTTTTGAAATCCTGCTTGTCCTTCTCAGTTATGAAGTCTTTCAAATATTTAGTTCCTCTGATGAAGCGGAATCACTGTCTAACCTTTCAGATTTCAGACTGAATTTGTTTGAAATGTATCTTTAATCCATTCATCCATTAATGGAGTTATCGGGGCTATAGGAGATAAGTATTTACATTTAGATACTTAATGTGTTCTGTAATATATACCCAGCTTTTATTTAGCTCTGGCATGGAAATTCAGACCGGTCAAGAAATAAAGGATCAATAAATGTTGGACTTGCTAACTCGGAGAGAAATATAAGGTTATGTTGCCCTTTCTGTTGCCTTGTAACTCACTCCTCCTTTGTTCAATTAGAAGGCTAGCATTCCTGTTCCTTTCTTAGGTAACGTACAAGTAGCTCTTTCAAAAAATTTATTGTGCTGTAACGTTCTTTTCAGTAATTGAACATGTGCCTCACAATCCATGTGCCTGTTTCAAGAGGCTGTTAGTTTTATGTCTCTAGTGCACAGTGTGCAGTGATTAGAATCATTCCCCAGAAAAACAAGTGAGTCAGTTGTTTATCAGTTGTCAGGTACTCAGTTTCATGATTGGAATGTAGTGTGCAAAGGTTTCTGGGAGACGTGGTTACTCTCTTGTTTTTTAACCTCCTGACTTTCAGGGACATTTTTTTTTCTTTTTGCTCTTTCAAAAACTCAAAGCCTGTTTAATTTAAGTTTAAAATAATTTGATGTTTTTTAGTTCCTTGAACAGCAGTAGAAGAATAGTAGTTCTTGCACCTTTGATTTTTTTCACACAACATTCTTACGAGTATGAATTATTGACTTTAATTTAAAAGTATAAAAACGTGACGTGACCAAACGGTCCTGAAGAGCCACAACGCAATATGTTTTACAGTATACCCTTAACACATAAGTTTCTAAATATTTGAGCAGTTTAGTGTTGATCACAAAAGCAGGTAAGTCATCGATTAAGTAGTTTATAGATCTTTTGAAATTAAAATGCCCTGTTCCTGTCCTGCAGCTGGAATCGTAGTAAACTAATAAAAACATGTCTTCCAGTTTTTTATAAATTGATGATTAAAAGGCAGTAAGACCAACTCTGGACTCTGGGTGTTTTAAACCATGGTTGACCAGCACCTACTGTATTATAAACAAAAAATGTTGTACAAACTCCCATTTTTATGAAAGATACAAAAGTGGAAGAGAGAGTTTAAAGTATTCTGGCTACATATAGGCGAAAATGTTTTTTCCCCATGCCTGGATTGCCTTTTCTTACTTTTATAATTTGATTTAAGAAAAGAAAGGGAAACTTTTGCTCTGTAGCACAACCTATTGAAGATGTATTGTTGTCCTTCATCTTCCAGTTTTGTTAGGTCTTGGCAATCTTATTTTAATCTTTTCCTATTACAGTACAAATTAACTGTGTCATAATTGCTCATTTCAACTATCCAGCCCAGATCGACAAAAGTAGTGCCCCCTTTTCTTGTAAAAATCCCAGTAGAAAAGATATATATAGGGCAGAATTTGAAAACTCAAATCCTTAAGGTTTTATGATCTTTTCAGGCTTAAAATACATACATAAAGTATACAATCTGTCTAAACATATTGTGAGATTTATTGTTTCATAGCTTTCTTATCTAGATAAGGCATAAATCTGCTATTACAAATTAAAGCATGATATAAGTACATGTATAATGATCCTAATGTAGTATACAGTCTTGGGAAACAAATTCATTCTTTTAATGTAAGCTGTAAACATCAGAGGGATCAGTCCATTTGACAAAACGTGAGTTGAATAAGTTTCACCATGGTCAGATTAATACTACATTAGAAAAGTATTCAGGTCCACATCTAACAGTGTAAATACATGATAAGAGGCAACTTTAATCTCCTGGCAGGCCACTGCTTATCATGGTACTACCAGTGAACAAGGACAAACACTGCCTGTCCTGAGTTTCACCGAGCAGTGTTCGTGCTTTACTTGGTAGAAAAAATCAGCTCAAAGGTACTGCCCAGGGCTGTGGAAATGATCATGTAAAAGATGGATTAGTTGAAGTGCTTTAACTGTGTTTTCTTTTCACAACAACAAGAGATAGTGAGTTTTATTCATATAAGCTTTGTTTTCCACATTCTTTTGAGTGTGGTTTTGAAAGTATAGGCTTATCAGTTTTCACCATTTCCTAAGATACGTAAGCTAGTTACAGATCAGAAACTGATAATCAACTGACAATTATCGTCCATATTACAACCCATCTATTTTCTTAAGTGCTTTATTCAGTACAGGGGAGCCGGAGCCTTAATCAAAGAAAATATTATTTTTCTTACTCTTTGATAACTATGTAAACATCACAGTTGGCAGCCTTAGTTTATAAGTTCTATTTAATTGTAAGTAGTATGTTTACAACTACAACATGTGATACCTGCTGATTCAGATTCCACATACCCTTAACTC